GTGTTAATATTGTATTTTATTTACTCAGGCATTGAGAAGTACCCAACAATCTCATAACCCTATCTACATATCAGTGGGCCACAAGACAGGACTGGAGACAGCAGTGAGACTTGCACATGCCTGCTGTCAGTACAGAATACCTGAACCTATCAGACAAGTAAGGATCAAGACAGAGACTACTAGAAATTATAACTATGTACATATTACCTGAGTTTTGTCGGGCTGCTTGGGAAAATAGTTGGCTCTTGGTCATGACATATGGTGAGGTCTGTGCATCACAACAGAGAACCAAATATTTTCCCATCCTGCCCGACCAACTCAGTCAAAGAGTACATGATAATAATTTTTAAGAATATTTTGAGTTCAACACATACCAATCACTGAAAAAGAACCAACTCATTAACTGTATTTGTGTACTAGGTAAATGTCATATTTTGGTCCATAAACCATAAAAATATCCTTCCTGTCAAATGTACCCTTGATCCAATCAACTTTGTTTCCTTCCCAGTCAAGACAAATATTTCACCAAAAACTAGCATGAAAGGAACAAAAACAGATATAAATGCTTTTTTAGTTGCTTTAAATGGCCTTAAAAAAAGGTAGGTCTTATTTTTTTCATATTTCCAGGCAGATATCAGATCTAGAGCATACATCAAAGAGCATATCGCTAAAGAATTGGAAACATGTTCCTGCAGGCTACAAAATGATGAAAGTAATCTCCTGAAAGAGGAAGATGATAGAAAAAAGGAAGGGCAAGATCTAGTACACGAGACCTGCCAGAATTTTGATCAACTTAACCTTAGTTAATTAACAAATAGATTCCATGTTGTCGTATGTTTGTTTAGTGATAGAACACGGATGATGTTTAAATGGTAAGAAAAAACATGTTGCAAAGAATAAGCAACCTAGGAGAGATGGCTAAAAGAAGTTAATTCATCATACAAGGTTCCTCTTTTTTAACTGTATCAAGGTTGGAATATTCAGAATGTTTTTGTGAAACTGAATCTGAGCTGTAATAACTTTTATGAGCACATTGTAGTAATAACATTTCATCAATTTTTAAGCATTTTAAACATACCTCTTTAATACACTGCCTACTTTAATCAAGAGATGACAAAGGGTATTTGTACATCTTGTAAATAGTTTTATAAACTANAAGGTAAATTATTTAAAGGAGGGCTAACCTAAGCAGCAGTTTTCTGCAAGCACTGGACCTTAGGTATTCTCTATAAGAGGGTTGCGTTAATTTAATAAAAGTCAATTTCAAGAAAAAATCTGCAAATTCAGATTGAGAGATTTCTGTCTCTTGTACTATTCAGGAATGCGATAATGTTACAACACCTCATTATCCAATTTCGGCTCTATTATCTGTCAAGTGGTCACTAGTAGGGGGTGAAAAGCAAATAAAAGAAAATTTCAAACTTGTAGCTATTAAAGTGGTAGTGGTTGCTTACGAGAGGTGGTTGCTTACAATAGGTTCCAAATATAGTGACTTGATTTGGAAACTTTGGGTATCTCGAAAAACTGGTCACTTAGGAAAGGTGGTCGCTTACAAGAGGTGGTTGCAACCAGACTGTTTGTAAAAGTTTGCTCTTTTGAAAGCCCTTCTGTTACTCCTTTACTAAATGTAGAATTTCCAAAGAACATCTTTGGGGTTAGCATAGTTGTTTCTTGCCACAGACTCTATCTCCTGGTGATATATTCAATAATATTGATACTTTGAGTAGAGTTGGTAATGTTATGATCTTTAAATTGCCTCTTTTCTTTCCCAAACAGCTTGCCAGTTTCTTTTCATTGGTGTGTTTCAAGACATTGCAATGAACTCCACCAAAGAAACTGCAGTCCCACTCTGGAACACAATGATTCCTGTTATTTAATTGTGAATCATACATTCCACAATTCTGGAAACTTCTGTGTCAGTGTTGGAGTGAGGAATGATGTCAGTAACACTAATACATCCCTTGTGCTGCAAATCCCTGGTGAGATACACACATTCCTTTTTACTTGTTAAGCAATATTTATCTTGACATTTTCCATTGTTCTATGTTAAGGACCATTTTATGAGGGGAACCTGGTCTCATAAAGGTTACTTTATCGTTAAAGAAACAGAGAATTCGGTGTCCTTTTCTTTCTGGATGATTCAGTTTTGTTGATGTCGAATTGTTACCAAATGGACATAACTACAGCAGAGTGACAGTAATTCTCAATAAAGAAATGACAACTTTAAATTTAAATTTACAAGACATGTTTCGACATTCTCATGTCATCTTCAGTTGCAAATGAGCTTTTAACGGTTTTACATTTAAATTTATATTAAGGNATACCTTAATATAAATTTAAATGTAAAACCGTTAAAAGCTCATTTGCAACTGAAGATGACATGAGAATGTCGAAACATGTCTTGTAAATTTAAATTTAAAGTTGTCGTTTCTTTATTGAGAAATGTTGGATTGTCTTTTGAACAGGCAGTTTCTCAGACACCAACAGTGTTTACCAATGAAAGTATTAGTTCACCTGGAAAATTTGTCAAATACATCCTACAAAACTGAAACCTATTGTAATGTGTGACATCTAATCAAGTGGTTGAACATCTAGACCCAGGAGCATAGCCCAGAAACAGATAACCATTTCTGATTTTTGGCTGAAAAAATGTATTCCTTTTTTCCTAGATGATGCATACCCTATAAATTCAGCAAAAAGGAGGAGCAAAGACAAGTTAGCAACAGGAGCTGTCATTGCTATCTCTGCCATGTGCCTTTTTAAAGTTGTTCCTATTGTCTTACTTGTACGCAGATGGAACCATAGCAAAAGGGACAAGACAGAAAAGGCAAACTTTGATTTTAGAGACAGCGATGACATAAGTTTCTCCTCTGTGCAATTGTTTGAAAGACCTTGTTTTCCTTGGTGTGGGAATAGAACATCAATTAATGCAGAAGGTGTACCTCTTTGTGATCATGCTGCTGGTAACAAACTTTACACACTATAATCTTTTCAGTGGATTGGAATATCTCCCCAGTTAATGAGGGAACCTAATTAATTTATAATTTGGTTATATCAACTAAGCTGAAATTGTAAATTGCCCACCAAAAGGAGTTAAAAAACACTTTATGATGACCAATTTACAATTTCAACTTAATTGATATAACCAAATTACCTTGTTATGCCCACTGATGCAGCACCATAGTTTCTTTACTAATTAGTTTATAATTCATACAACATGGGAAGGAATAAGATTGTACCATGAGGGTATGAAAAGTATACTTTTTACTGAATGGATTGAGAAATGGAAATTGTTGAAACATAAAATTGGATACCTTATTTATCTCTACTGAACTCTTTCCAGAATTGTTACTTGAGATTATTTGTTTTTTACATCTACTGACACCATCTTGATATGTTTATAGCACAAATAATTATATAAAGTTGTCTAAATTGAATTACTGGTAAATATTAAGATTTTGATGTAAATTGGTTGCCTATTTGGGTCAGTGTTGGATAAATTAACACTATTCTGTGTACATACTGTAATTAATGTTGGTTATGAAGTATACTATTCAATAACCTATTTTGGATAAAGCCAGAACAAGGTAGTCTGGGTAGAGAGAAAACTCTTTAATATATTTTTTCCAATCTCGAATTTGATTTAACTATAGGCAATAAATCAGTAAAAGAAAGTATAAGTATAAATTGCTGTAAAGCATCAAGACATCACAAATCCCATTTTGTAGTTAAAAAAAAAGAACAAATAAAGTGGTTCTTTTGTTAGTTTTTGTATGATGCAAGGTCACTTTATATGTGCTGCTGCCCTGTTCATTAATGAGGTAATCAGGAGTCCAATTCTGAGTTCTGGTCATCAATTTCCATTTTTTCATTATACTTGATTAAGGACACGGCATTT